CTTCAAACACAATCAGCTATCGCTGGCTGTATCCAGAGGGCGTAACCTTCAAGATAAAAAGGAAAAGACTGACTCTGTTTCCAAAGTACGGGACTTTTTGAAAATCCAGAGGGGTGAGCAAGAGAAAGGCGATAAAGAGGACAGTAAGTCCAGTGGCGAGCTGGACTCGGGGTCTTCTGGAGAGGACTCTCTGTCGGAGAAGGAAGCATCGGCTCCTAAAAGTCCTTATAAACTGCGAAGAAGACAGGATAAAAAGAAATGAAGGTTGAAGGACGCTGTATTGTGCCTTTGAAAAGGGTTGATTGTAATGAGATGCTCTGGGGTTTTTCTTTTTAACAGTTACTTTAAGATTCAAAAGTTGTAATAGCAGATCTGACTAAGTTCAAAAAATTGTTAGCGAGTTTAGAACTGACTTTGTACTTAAGAAATTTTGAGGATCTCCTCTCTTGGGGTTTTAGATGGTAGTGGGTTTTCTTTTCTTTATCCCTAATTGTAGTTCCTTTCCCTCATTTTCGTTGTAGATTTGTAGTCTTTAGAAAATGTAATAAAAAAATCCCCTTCGGGGGGGCCAAAAAACAACAACAATACAAGTCAAAGGGTTGTCTTTTTATGAATTGCTGAAGAAAAATACATTCATTATAGTCCAAGATTAAACAAAACCCTTCAGCTGTCATACATTTATTTCTACATAAGCTTTTGATCTGGTAGTATCAAAGGGTCAGGTCTTGAAAGAGAGAGATTTGGTAGAATTATCAACTGATCTAACTGCATGGCTATACAGAAAGGTCAGTTTCTAAAATGTTCTCTAGAGAGTGCTCAAATGTAGTAGGTGAGGAAAAAAGGATATTATCTTCAACAATAAAAGGTATGTACGAAAACAGAACTACAAACTAACACCCACTGACAATTTGCTTAATATCTGATAAATGAGGAAGATAATCTTAAGGCCAGGTTTGAAAATACTCAGGAGATAGATGAATAAAGGTTTTCTTAACTGAAATGCTGTGAATGCCATCAGAAAAGTAAAGGAGGGCAAAAGCTTATCCTGTCCCCCTCTGTATCTTTTTCTGTATCTTTTCCCACCAAAAGTAGAAAGCAACTAGTTTAAAGGGGCTCAGATTACAGCAGAACCCTCCTGTTTGAAACACTGCAAATCTCCCCTGTGGATACAAAACTCCCATTCACATTTCCCAGAATAGAAACCATTTAAACAGTAATGTAAGCAATTATTCATTAATATTTGTTTTCTAGTACAGTCCTTTAAATCTCCATAGTGAACTAATCAAACATATTTGAGTTACATATTTGGTCAAACAAAAATATTTTAAAAAACCCTCATTGGCTTCTAATCTTAATTGAATTTTTTCTTTAAATTCTAGTTTATCCTTTGGCTTCCAATTACAATTATCACTGCCATACTAAAGACACCCACCAAAGGACTGGCAGTAACTTTGAAAGCGTACACATGCCACAAAACAATGTATGCAGCTCAATTTCAAAGAAGAAAGGAAGAAGAAATTAAGACCTTTATTACTTCAAATTATGTTTGTTTACCATAGCTGAGGCAAGGAGAAAAATAGATTAAAGGAAAGGCCTCCAACACAGTGGCACCAACAACTGCTAAACTTTACTCTTGCCTGCCCAGAATTTCTACCTTGGGGGGGGGGGCGCTACTGTAGTTCCTCGTGTGCTTTTTTGACCTCTTGCAGTGACCCTCATGCCAGCATTCACAAGCTGCAGGTCATGACCTCATGAATTAGCATAATGAAAATAAGGGCCATTTCAGGTTCAGAGTCAGAGCACTGTATCTGCCAGCTCTTAATGAGACTATAAAAATCTGTTGCAGTATATCCACTGGAAGGTAATATACAAGTCACAGTTCAGTTTCCAGTTACAGCTTTTAGATCTTGTTCCCATATATTAAACTGGGGGGAGGGGGGGAATCAAACACAACTCCAGCAAAAAAATTTTTTTAAAGTTATTCTGCTTCAGGAAAAGATCTAGTATTTGATTTACTTTGCCAACCGTATGTGATATAATATGCCTTGATCCATTTGCCAAGCCTCTACGCTATTTAATAATGTCTGTTTTGCATACACATTCCATTGATGCTAAAAATGTCAATTTTAAACTATGTTGTATCGTTTGGGGCTCCAATCAGAAAGTTAATATAAATGCACTTTAAAATATATAATGCAACTACAATATCAGCAAAGGGTTGTTTGTTTTTTAATTGTTGGTTTCATTCTATGATTTTTTTAAGACACAAAAAGTCACCTTTCACCAACAAATGCTTTCCACTTTTTCTTCCAGAAGGGGGAGCTAGCACTCTCAGCCATGATGGTAAGCCTGCAGCCTGAACACGGGAAGTTCATGTTTTTAAAAAATACATATGACTGAATCAATCTTATCAAATTAAACAAAATGTTTCTGTCACATAAAAATAAAAGACCAGGTACATACCTCTTTCCGGAAATTCCTGAGGGTAGCTGAGGAAAGAGAGGGGTGGAAAAAGAAGAAAATATAAGTTTATTTACTTTATTTTATAGCCCACCTTTGTTGCTATAATTCAAGGTGGACAAGTAGTCAGACCCTCTTAAACAGAATTGAACATGTCGGGTAAAATCAACCAAATTACTCTCTGGATAAGATCTTGTTTATTCAAAGCATGTATAGTCCTCTTCTTCCATCAGAAATTAAAAAGAGAACATTAGCAGTTCAAATACAATACAAAAGGCTAAATATTCTACACCATAAATATAATTTTAATGCTCACAGTGGCTATAAAGTGATAGTTCATTCATACAAAGTGAATCACAACTTTTATTACTGTTTTCAGAAACTTAACCGTCCAACCAATCTCTGAAAAAATACACACATGTTGCACTTCAGGATATATTTCAACCCCAAGCCAAACCGCATGCATACCTAGCAGTAAAAATGTTGCACAATTTTTGTTTGTTTGTGGTATTAGAGGTCATTGTGCTTCTCAGTTCTAAGAACATCTAGAAATTGAAAATAAACTTAGACATGAGGCAGAACACTTCTTTTGTAAAGGTAGATTTAGGTGGGGCAGCCATGTTGGTCGGAAGCAGCAGAACAAAGTTTGAGTCCGGCGGCACCTTTAAGACCAACAACGTTTTATTTGAAGTAGAAGCTTCACACATCTGAAGAAGTGTGCTTGCACACGAAAGCTTATACCGTGAATAAAACTTTGTTGGTCGTAAAGATGCCACTGGACTCAAACTTTGTTCTTTTGTAAAGATTCATACCCACCTTGTTGCATATTGAATAACTCACACTAGTATAGTTCTTTACAAAACTATATTTTTAATTTTTTTTCAACAGCACAAAATATGTTTTAAGCCATTAGACAACTAGCGTAAGCTTTCTTTTTTTGGGTATTTTTGCATTTGTTTGTGTGTTTATGTGTGTGCACGCACCCACACCCAGAAGTCATGGTGACCTCTGGCGACTCCTACTGGGGCATGGAGGACTTCAGAGAAGTTGCTTGATAGCCTGCCTCTGCCTCCTGGTCTGGGTATTCTTTGGAGGTCTCCCTTCCAAGTACTTGCCAGGGTCAGCCCTGCTTACCTTCCAAGACCTGACTTGCCTGGGCTATCCAGGTCAAGGCTAGCATAAGCTTTCATGAATTTAAAGGGAAACATCTGAAATTAAGTCACGGGTTCAAATCCCCACTGTCATAAAGTTATTAAGTAATCTTGGGCTAGCCTAACCTACTTCACAGAACTGTTGTTAGGATAAAATGCTGATGAGAGAAACTACATACACACTACCCTGAGTCCTTTGGAGGAAAGGCAGGATAAAATTAGATAGCTAGGACAGCTCATAGCAATCCATGCAGTTATCACTATGGGTCCTGCCCAGTTCATACTATTATTTCTTCATGCTACCCTATGTATGTAAGTAAGTGCCACAACTGATTTATGGTGACCCCAGCAAGGGGCTTTCAAGGCAAGTGATTAAGCAAGATGTGACTTGCCATGGCCTTCCTCTACTGAGTCTTCCCTGGTGGTCTCCCATTCAAGTATCAACCCTGCTTAGCTTTTGAGATCTGACCAAGACTGGGCTGTACCATGCCATTCCTCATCCCAAGTAGGACTATAAATACCACAAATCCTGCTTAGCTTCCAAGATCTGACAAGGCTGGGCTATACCATGCCACTTTTGCTCCCTCATGCAGCCCTAGGCCTACACAAAACAACCCTCTGAGAAAGTTTTGCTCATGTGAACTGGGCCTCAGAAACTAGCAAGAAGCAGATTAACTTTTTCTGCACAGAGCAAAATCTCTTTCCAACACCAATTACAGTTTTGTTTATATACAAGCCCCAGAAATTTTACTCTATTCCTCTATTGTGCAAGCAACCATCTTCATGAATTGGGCAGAATGCCATGACCGCTCTCGGAAGGCAAACAATCCATCTAGCTCAGACCAATGGAAAACTCTGGCATTCCTAATTTCAGAGATCTGTGCAATTCAGCAATTCCAGTCTGCACATCCCAGATGTCCTGGATGATTTAGTCTGTGTCAGTTAGAGGTCCACACAGCTGACAAGCACTGGCACAGGACCAGGCTAGGCTGTGCAACCCAGACTGCTTGAACATGGGAGGTCCTGAGGGAGGGAAAACGCTGAACTGAAGTGCAAGAAGGTGAACCCTCAGAAAATCAGCACATTAACATTTTTAGCTTCTTTCCATCTGCCTTCTGGTTCAGGAGCCACATCATGTTTTCATATTTCCCCCCAGTAAAACTGAGGAAAAGAAGTATCACAGTGATTTGCACTCTAACAAACACCCATGTTCTGAAATCCTAGAAAGGTTGCATCTATCAGTTTGCCAACCACTGCCTATTTCTGGGTCTGACAATTTAACCTTGAGCATTAGACATATTTAACCTTGGGGATTAAATAGATTTATGGAGGATAGGTATTTCAGTGGCTACTAGCCATGGTGACTGTGGGGAACCTCCACATTCAGAGGCACTAAATCTCTGAATCCCAGAGCCAGGAGGCAACATCAGGGGAATGTCTTGGCCTCTATGCCCTGTTGTTGGCCCTCCAGAGTAACTGGCTGGCCACTATATAAGACAGGAAGCTGGGCTAGATGGACCACAGGTTTGATCCAGCAGAGCTCTTCTTCACATGAGAAATCACATGAAACTGCCTTATAATGAATCAGACCTTTGGTTCATTGAAGTCAGTATCATCTACTCAGACTGGCGGCGGCTCTCCAGGGTCTCAGACAGAGGTCTTTCACATCACCTGACCTGGACTTTTTAACCGGAAATGCCGGGGATTAAACCTGGGACCTTCTGCATGCCAAGCAGATGCTCTACCACTGAGCCACAACCCTTCTTACATTCTCATCCTTAAAATAAGGATCTCCAATTGGGATGGGCACAAACCAGAAAATTCCACTTTGGGCAGTTCCTGAACTGAACCCGAACTGAACCGGGTAAAAAAATGCCCAAATAAAACCAGCCACTTCGGGTCCCCCTTTCTCCCAGGTGCAGAAAGCCGCAGTCCAGGGAGAGGGATTGTCCAGGAAGGGTTAAATGGCTGCCACTTCCAAGTGGGGAGAGCGAAATGGACGGGTTTAATGGCACACAGCCATTAAAATCTAATCCGCCACACTGTTAGAGTTAAATGGCTGGGTGAGCCTGTTCGCTGTTCGGCTGAAATGGCTCCCAGCCATTTAAACCTAATAGGCAAGTTGTGGACAACCCACACCACTCAGCTGCTAGGTTTAAATAGCCTGAACAGACGAACCAGCCAAAAGTTTGGGTAACGTTTGGGGAATTTTCAAGGTGGAATCCCCTCTAAAAGACGCCAGGAAAAAATCATGAACAGGTCTGTTCTAAGCTTTTTTTAAACACCTTTTATTTCATAGCATTTTTCTCTGGACTACTTGGCTGACAGCTCCATTTCTGGCGCTTTTTATAGTTCATGTTCTGTTTCTAGGATGGAACAAAACTTGATAACATTGCAGGGGGAGCCTGAGATATTTTTACTACTCAGAAGTAGCTCTCACTAAAGTTGGTGACTTCTTATATTTTAAAGTGGGTCACCATCTAGCCCAAGCATTTTATAACCAAAGACGCATCTTGCAAAAGTATCCAAAGGGCAAAATTGGGGGGGGAGGGGGGGGGGGGCAGAAGGGATCCTTGCCTAGGATGCAAAATAAGCTGGAGCCGGCGCTGCCAAAGGGACCAAAATCTATGTAACACATAAAAACAGAAGATGGGAACAGGAACAGAAGTTCTTCTCTTTCAAGCAGGTGGATCTTTTAAGAAGTACAGCTAATTACTAGTTAATACTGAACATTATCATATAGCTACATCAGGCCTTCCTGTACGATACATCTAAAAATGCTCCAATTGCACTTTAGCTACTCTTCCTGATCATCTGTTTCATATTGAAAATATAGCCATATTTCATCCATATGTAACAGAGAGGGAGAAGGAGAAAACAGCTGTGCAGAAAGGGAGAGGAAGCATACTCTTTTTAGTTCTTGAGAAGCTGTATCACAGTAATTAATAGTTTACAGGTTTGTAAAATGAAGCAAGAATGGGTGGAAGGACAGGAAAAGGGGCTGTGTAAGTCATCGTCAATGAACAAAATAATAATCATGGGGCACTTGTGCATTCAACACATCAACCACAATAGCAGCAAACTGCTATCAAGAAGAAGTGTTGATGTCTTCACAAGTAAATGAAAACTTGTGGGAAGATGTGAGAACTGTGCCACCAGAAACAAGTGCAACAAACTGACCATGTGGCAAATTCCACAATGGTTTAGTAGTTCAAGCCACCACACACACACACACACAAACACACACCCCTCACCTTTCTCCTAATAACAAGACCAAGAGATATAGAGCAGTTACATCCTTCTAACTTCACTGGTATCAATGGACTTAGAAAGGTATAACTCTGCTGAGGCCCCGACTCGTAGTATAAAATCACTTCTCGCCATGGGGAGAAGTTTGGAGTGGCCTTAGCTCCAGCTCTTTGTCTGTGAAATAGGAATAGTAACAATTTACCCATGACATGGGCATGCTGCAAAGATTACTCACTTTTAGTAAATACATTGTATATAAATTAAATATAAAGAGTTCAAATAGCTTACTTGGACTTGATGTCTTTTATCTTCTTAATCAGAGCATCCCTCTTTTCCTTTGCTCTTTTGGATAAATTTTCTGCTTTTAGGATATCTGATATAAATGCATCAACATCTAAGTCATGAAAAAGGATAAAAGGAGATACAAGTCAAGAGGAGAAATGGTAATCTTCAGAAGATAAATACTCCCATTATGTATGTGTGTGTATGTATATATGGCAGTAATACCTAAACTATCTAATGGAGTTACTTTATCAGTTCCAGGCATAGTATAATTGAAAGATATTTCAAACTCTAAATTGGATAGATTTGTTCACTGCTGGGCTTATGCTTAGCACAGCAAATGCTGTTTGACATTTGCCATCATTAAATGAACAAAAATCCAAGAAGTTTAATAAACTGTCAAACAACATGAAATATATATATATATATACACACACACACACACCCTATTACTTGAGGAATAAAAGCTAGAAGACAATAAACTGCTTTATGCACGTACCATTGCTATAAAATCGAACATAGTTTGGCACTTTCATTAACAAAAGCACATTTTCAGAAGTGACCAGACTTATGACATCTTTCTATGAGCGATGAATAGGCAAAAGTTTAAAAGCATGCAAGTCACATCTCCATAGTAAGGTGGTCAATCAACAACACCACACTGTTAATACGCTACCATTACACTTAACATTTGCAAGATCAGCCCAAATTATAAATGATAATCACTGGACCTAATAGTAAACTGGCTGCCACCATGCAGATGATGAAAGCAGCAAAAACAGAGGGAGGCACCACAGACAATGCAGTTGTGTCTATGTATGTGGAGGATTTCCCAGCTATGTAGAAAAAATATGGCTTTGTAAATTAGCCAAAGGAGAAAGGAAAAATATCTTGAACAGCCTGTTGAGGATCAACATGTTGAGAGCAGCTAAGGATCAGTTAAGAGAAAAGCGAAGACAAAGTCACCCCCATTTAAGCAGCCAGTAACTAATCATGTAATGAAACTGATCAAAATAGATTCAGATATGAGGAGGCACACCATTCCCACAACACCTGGAATTTACTACCACAGGATGGGGTGATGGATACTAGTTTAAATTTGGAGTAGACTTCCAGCCTACGATGAGACAATCATTTGTTTAGTTGCAGGCTGAAGTTTATTTTTTATTGTTTAAAACCTTTCTAAGCCTCATTTTCACCCAACTCAGGATTCTCAAGGAGGCAAACAATAAAAACATTGAAGTTAGTCAAAACAGATATACATGAAGCAATTAAAACAAAACCCGTAAACACACGAGAAGGCAGAATCAGCAGGGAACACCAGAAAAAGCAGAAAAGCCTTTACCTGCTGGTAGAAGACAATGCTAGAAGGGAAGGTTCACTAAGTGGCCAACTGTAATACACAATGCCATGAACCCTACTTAGTGCAAGAAGAAGAGGAAGAAGATATTGGATTTATACCCCGCCCTTCACTTGGAGTCCCAGAGCATCTTACAATCTCCTTTCCCTTCCTCTCCCCACAACATACACCTTGTAAGGTAGGTGGGGCTGAGAGAGCTCTTTTGAGGACTGCTCTTGAGAGAACAACTCTGAGAGAAATTGTGACTGACCCAAGGTCACACCAGCAGCTGCATGCTGCATGCAGAGAAGTGGGGAATCAAACACATTCTCCCAGATTATAGCCCACGCTCTTAACCACTACACTACACTGGCAAGTAAACTTATGCTTGTGGATGCAAACTTCCTGACTTCTTTCCTTCTGGTGCAGCCTGCCCCCCCCCCTCATGCCCACAGAAGATGGTTGGGAAAATGTAATGAGATGAAGTAGGGGTCTGCACCCTGACCTGGATAACCCAGGCTAGCCTGATCTCGCCAGATCTTGGAAGCTAAACAGGGTCAGCCCTGGTTAGTACTTGGATAGGAGACCACCAAGGAATACCAGGGTTGCTACACAGAGGCAGGAAATAGAAAACCACCACAGTTCATCTCCTGCCTCGAAAACCTTATGGAATCACCATAAGTCAGCTATTACTTGAAGGCAAAAAAAGGGTGATCGGAAGTTAGGGGGGAACTGGGTGTAAATTCTGCTAGTGGAAGTGCCTTATGCCAGTGTATCTTTGTCATAGAACACACTACATAGTTGGGCCAATTCCCACCCATTTGAGCTCACCTTTAGGGCTCTGTTATCAAGAGCAGAAGTTGCCATCGCCCTACTCAAACCTGAGTGGAAAAATCCCAAAGGGCATCTGAATATCCAGCTGCCAGTACTGAGGGTCAACACGTTTTGTACAATTGGGCAAACAGCAATGCATAATTGCAGAAACCAGAGACTTAAAGGGTACAACTGGAAAACCTTGAATGGAAACAGACAACCCTCTCCTGAGCAAAGATGGTGCAATGTTAAGTGCTTGGCTTTTAATGTGAAAATAGTTTTTCATCATACAGTTCTGGCCAACATGCACTACTCCATTTATTTATATCATTTATACCCCACCTTTATCCCCAGTGGAGATCCAAAGTGGTTTACAACATTCTCCTTTCCTACATTTTATCTTTACAGCAACTCTGTGAGGTAGGTTAGGCTGAGAGTGACTGACTGGCCCAAAGCCACCCAACTAAGATTCCACGGCAAACCCAGGTCTCCCAGATCCTAGTCCAACACTAAGCACTATCCTACACACTGGTTGGCTCTATGCTTTTTTCAAAAAAAGAAAAACACAGAGCATAACCCTCGATTTTATCTTCTATTCTACCTTGCATTGTTTCCTGACAGATAACTGGAACAGAAGTCAAAAGACAGAATATTACTAAATAGTTAATTTAAAAAACTAATTGAGCAGCAAGTATATAAAAATAGCCTATGCTAGTTTTATTACTTATGCGACACTTATTTTCAAATTTATAGCAAAGACAACTGAACTATGTTTCAAATATTGCAGGATATTTCAAGACTGTCAGTCACTTCTCTTTTCATTTTTTAAAAACGTCAATGCATCTGGTCTCATTTCAGTACTGTTTTAATAGATGGTAATTGCAAAGGTAATCTGCTTAAATGATATTCACATAATGATTATGTCTCCTTTAGTTATCCAGAACTCTATGGTGATCACCATTCATTTTAGTAATGTTCATTCTGGAAATGAAGCACTAGAACAGTTAGATTTTTATGTGAGAGAATTAAACAGTAGAAAAGCTTAGATTCCAACTAGACTCTATTAAACGAAAATGTGGTAAAGAGAAGTTGGCTGCCTGGCTGAAGAGGGCACTTCTAGGGCAGTAGCTAGGGCAGGATTAGAACATCGATCCATACTTATGGATTTATTTCACTAACTTTCCCTTTCTGAATTTATTCCCAAAAAGAATCTTCTTGTCCATCCCTAGACAAGAGTGGCGTCTGGAAAAACAGAAACTAGATATCAGTGACAGTCTAAAAGCATAGGAGTATATTTAGACTGTACTTTTGGGGCAAAACCCAACAGAGTTCATTAATATCAATGGACATTTAACTGTACATCAGATTGTTAGTGTTGTCTATAGATATGATCCAACCAGAGAAATAAGCGTAACCCTCTTGCACAGAAATCAATGGAACTGAAACTGCTTATCTATTTTTAAATATTCCACTTTACAGTTTCACATGCTTGTGAATTTAAAAGAATAGCTAATTTTAAGTAGCTAATTCAAGCAGCTGAGTTCTCTACTAAAGACAAACCTTTTTTGAACGTCAACAACTACATCCTAATAAGACCCATTCTAATCTACAGGATTCAATTACATCAAATGTGTTTAAGCTCAAGGGTTATTATACTGGAAACCATTGAAGGTTTATTTAAGCCTTGAGAGGACAATAATTTTATGGTCTCTGCAAAACTGAAGTGTTTCTTCAGCAGCACTATGTACCTAGATCAGACCTATGGAAGTCTTTTCAAAAATCTGTGCTGAAGGGAGATTAGTCTGATGAGCAGTCTTTCAATTATCTTCAGTATACTCCCTCAGATGTCTTGTAGATCGTCTCGGCTGGAAACCTCAATGGCTAGTTTCAATGTACAGCCAGGAGAAAGCATGTTAAAGAAGCATCAACATGCCCAGGCCTGGGGCCACGCAAATATCTTATGACACCAATTATTCTCAACAGTTTTCCATAGAAACTGTGTGCCAGAGTAAGTGATAAACAGTCACCCATTCTATTGCTAAACTGATAACCCTGGAACCAATAAGTGACATTTTGCCTTTACCTGCCCTTGTGCTTGTTGTTGCAGGACAGTCCTTCATAGAACAATAGCCTTCTCCTTCACATCTATTCTTACAGTCCTTTTTTTCATCTTTTTTCCTGCAAAGTCTCCACTAAGCTACTATCATCTCATATTTTCTGCTAGCTTTCTTTTGTCCCATCTTTACTAGTCTCAGCATCTCCCCTTCACTTTTATCATATTTGGTTAAAAACCTTCTAAGAGTATATTCTGCACACTGGTGTTACTAAATGAATATTAAGTTGTAGCTGTCAAGTCTAGAGGAATCTGGTTCAGCCAGTTAATGGTCTCTCTACCATTTGGAAAAGTTGCTGAATGCTATCAGAGGTCCTCAAAAGGTTTGTTTGTAGTCACTGTCCTCTAATACCTCTTCACTTGTTTCTGATTCACTGAAGAGTACATTCAAGGCTACAGGAAGTGGTTCATTGGTTTGTTATTGTACATCAGGATAACTGATCATGCAAACAAGACCAGTCAATGGCCGAAAGTCTGCCCATCACCTTAAGGCTGCTCCAAGAGTGACATAACGCTTCCCTGCTTCACTCAACCAGCATCAAGCTACCTCAGCATACAAGAAACAGAAATCCTAAGGAAACAGCGCAAAATACTTTATTTGCTTGCCTAAAAAGCTAGGCAGCACATGGTACATCAGAAACCACTGGATTCCTGACCTTAAGGCTGCTCCAGGAGTGACATAACTCTTCCCTGCTTCACTCAACCAGCACCAAGCTACCTCAGCATACAAGAAAAAGAAATCCTAAGGAAACAGCGCAAAGTACTTTATTTGCCTAAAAAGCTAGGCGGCACATGGTACATCAGAAACCACTGGATTCCTGTGGCTTCAAACATGCTCTGAAGATCAGCAGATGGCACCTCCAGACCACCTCAGTTAGTTCATCAAATCTGCAAAAGTGATGGCTGTTCTACAGTTATGAAAGTTGGCAAATAAGAGATCATTTTACTCAGGCAGTATTTTAACTGGTCATTATATATTATTATTTATCATATGGCAGGATTACACATAGGAAGCATATAATAATATAAAATATGTAACCAAGTTGATACAATGTCACTATTTATTAGCATTCCATAGGCTTTCAGAATTTATCTTTCAAAACCATAGCCTCAGAGTTTATTTTTAAACATTTGAGAATAAAAGACGTACTATCCTTTATTTGTCCTTTGTAATACAGATCTCCCCTCTCTAAGATGTAGGTACATACAAGTATACAGATACTTCACTGGCTACTTCAAGCATCTGGTGAAATAACTCCTGGTTACACAGCATGCACCATCAAAAAAGTTTTTTTCAGGCGCTAATGGACTATTTAACATATTATTTTGCAGGAGGAATTGTTGGGATGTGTTTAAACAAGTTGAACCCTGAGTATAAAACTCAGACTACATAAGCTCTTTACATCTATCACTTTTATCCACTGGGACAGAACTGTTTTGTTGGGGAGGTTTTTGCTGTTGAACTACATTTCATGCTAAGTGAAATCAGCCTATACTCTACTCCCCTGAAATGAATAAAAACACATAGATACTCAACCAACCTTATTCTGTTCGGAATGATGAAATGGGCTCTGTGGGTCTCAGAATCAACTACACTAGCCCCCAACAGGATGGAGCTCCAATACCATATGAAGCAGAGCTACCATTAAGCCTATAAGACTTTTTGCTATTACATTTCCACAGAAAGTAGATAACAAAGCACCAACACTTATTTATTTACAGCCTGCCCTTTCCCCAAGACTCATACCTGTTTACAAAATATTTTTAAAAACCCAATGCAATCAAACAGCATTAGACACCAATCAACAGGACCAGGTTTACAGAATTTGAAAATAGTGAAAACAAAAAGCTGTCCAAGACATGATATACAATTAACGATGCAGAATGTGGATTACAAACACATACAACAATGCATACAATAAACACTGTACAATAAACAATGCATACAATAAACATCCTAGTCCCTTATAAAAACATCTTCCTGACTGCTCCATTATACTACAGTTCTACCTAAACCCTTAATAAATATGCCCTCCAGAGTACATCTGGTTTGCACATTCTGCAGAATGATAGAAGTGTGGGATCCCTCCTGACCATCTCAAGAGGCCATTGCACAAGGTGAGAGCCATCACAGGGAATACACATGAACAAGCAGTTGCCTGCCTCATCCATAAACCTAACTTTGCTCAGAAAAGAGAACTATTGGCAGGAAAGGGGGGGGAGGGGGACCCAGAATTGTCAACATTTCATCTAAGAGCTTCTGCAAAGACAGTAAAATAAGAGGAAGTTGTCAGTAAGGCATAAAAGGAACACAGTTTGGAAAGATAATCCATGCAAATAGTATTTCACCAAAAATAAGAAGTATAAAGGACGTATTGTGTGATACAGGAAATGCAACATGAAAGTGCCTTTCCACTGTTCAGAGACATGAAAACGTAAGCCAATTGAGAATCGTGCCGCCGAGTGTGGTAGAAGCAGACCTAAACATAACTTACATCTTTAAGACAACTGTAACCTGCCTTTTTTCCAGTGGTGGACCCGAAACCGATAAAGGGCTTGTTCTAGAAATAAAAGACTAAAGCGTGCAAAGCTGGTATCTCAGAGCACATACATAATGTGTAGTTATAATCACCCCTTGAAAGTCAAAGAAGAAAACTTTCTTCTAAAAGGGGGTTCGTTCGGCCGGAGATCTTTTTGCTACTGCAAAAAACTTTGACGGCAAAGCTCTGCATCCTCAACTAGCTACACCTTAAGAAAACTCCGCTACCAAGTTTATATTCCCCGCCCGAGTTTCCGGGGAACCCAGAGCGCCGTTCTTCCCCGCCCCAAACGGCCGCATCAGAGACCCCCAAGGTTTCCTCACACGCCCCCACTTCCTTCAAGGAACCTGAGCGAGCCCCAGTCGCGAGCCCCAAGCGCGCTGGGAATCCCTACCTGCCAGGAGGCTGGCGACCTCCTCGGGGATAACGGGGGCGCTGTGCATGTCGAGCCAGGTGGTCGCGCGGGGGCAGCTCTCGGGCACAGGGAGGAAACAACAAAGCCCCGCCCCCTTCTGCCCGGCTCCGGGAAGTCAGTGTGGAAACCCAGAGCAGAAGGCGCGGCTACGAGACTCCACTCCCTTTAGAATGCCCCGCCCATTAAACCGGGCTACGCATGCGCGTTCGGCGTGCACCACCACGCGTTGTTTCACGGGCCTGGCTAGCCGGGTTTCCCATGGCTACGCCGGGCGGTAGCGTTCTTCCCTGACACGTGACTTCCCCTTCGCTGACGCCATATTTAGCAAGGGCATAACATCTCTTAGCCGTGAACTGATCTCAAGCTTAGATTCCAATATCAAACATGGTGGTTCAAGCAACACGGCTGTTCCAGTGCGAAGGATTCCCTTATTGGATAGACTCGGATTTGAATCGTAGTGTGAAAGTTGCTGCTTTGATAGGCTAGACAGTCTTAGTTGTTATTGTTGTGTTTTGCTGTTACGTCTTCCACACCCTTGGTTACCACCAATCGTAGCCTTCTTCTCTTCAGCAGATATGGCCTGCTGGCTTTAAAAGCAGCCAATGAAGTGACGCTTCCTTTGGGCAGAGACCGAAGCAGGAAAGAAAGAAAAAAGAAAGAAGGGGGTGGGAGAGAGGGAGGGCTGCACTGGAAGGCTCTCGCCTTCCTTTGTTTTGTGTTCCTAAAGCAGTTTTTTTCTCTTTTCTCCTTTTCCGTAATTCTATTCTTAGGGCATTTTGCACATGACGATAAAAAGGTTGTGAATTCACGCAATGCATTGGTTTAGATTGTTTTTAGGAACATTCACACGTCACGTATAGATACAGCAGGAGTCCTATCATACACTATCCTGAATTAGAGCACACTTCAGATGCGTGAAGGGTTCGTCCGTAAGGCAGATGCATTCAAAAATGCCGAGAACAAGGGAGACATGCCAATTTTTTAAAATTTCCAATCAAAAGAGTAATCAATCAGGCGTGGGTGAGGACTGGAAAACCAATTCTGACTGTCCATAGATAATCAAAGTGGGGTTAACATAAAACAGGCTGAATGTGTGATAATTCTGTTCCTTTAATCGGGGCCAGCGTTTTAGGCTGTCCTGGTCCTAGCCTGATCTTCTCAGATCTCAGAAGCTAAGTTGGGTCGGCCCTGGTTAATATTGGATGGGAGACAACCAAGAAAGTACCGATTTGCTGTGCATAGGCAGGCAATGGCAAATCACCTCTGTTTGTCTCTTGCCTTGAAAACCCTACAAGTGTGGCTATAAGGCAGATGCAACTTGACAGCACTTTTCACCCCCTGTCCATTCCACCCCCTGTCAGTCACAAGCTCTGGCACAGCTTTCCTTGAAAAAGAGCAGTTTGTGTCAGAGTTCTCTCAGCCCCACCCACCTCACAGGGTGTCTGTTGTGGGGAGGGGAAGGGAAAGGAGTTTGTAAGCTGCTCTGAGACTCCAAGTGAAGGGCGGGGTGTAAATCCAATATCTTCTTAATGTGGAAAGTAATGGGGGGAAAGGAGGTTGTTGTTAACTGCAGCTCCACATACAGAACCTGACAATATTAAACTTTGCTTCTGTTCAAAACTTTACGGCCCCCTTATTGTGCTGTCTAATTACAAGATGCCCAAATTCATCAGATCTTGGAAGCTAAGCTGGGTTGGCCCTGGCTAGTGTTTGGATGGGAGACCACCAAGGAATACCAGGGTCGTGACGCAGAGGCAGGCAATGGCAAACCACCTCTGATAATCTCTTGCCTTGAAAACCCTATAAGGTTATCGTAATCAACACACCTCTCCCCATTACTTCTCATCTCCCATCCTCCATGTGGGGTGGAGTATACAGGTCCTGGCTTATATCATTTAAACTACTGCATGCTAAGGATCTCTCAACAGTGGCCATAACTACTATCAGTAGTCTGCCTTGCTCCATATTATAGACACAACAATAATCCTAGGAAGTAGGTGAGAGGGTGATTGGCTGAAGGCCACTCAGTGAGCTTCCATGGCAGAGCAGGGATTTGAATCTGGGTCTCTCAGATCCTAGTCTAGGGTACCAGCTCCAGGTTGGAAAATGTCTGGATATTTTGGGGGTTGAGACTGGGGTGTAATGTTCCCTCTAAGATGAGTTAGTGTGAGCTAGCTCACAGTTTTTTAGCCTCTGGCTCACACATTTTTGTCATAGCTCAGGAAGGATGGCTCCAGAGCAAACTAATTTATGCAGTAGCCAAATCACTTGCTCACAACTTTAATGCCAGTAGCTTACAAAGTAGAACTTTTGCTCACAAGACTCCACAGTTTAGAGGGAACATTGCTGGGGTGGGTGGAGTTTGCAGAGGCCACAGACCTCAGTAGGGTATGATGCCACAGAGTCCACCTTCTAAAGCAGCCATTTCCTGATCTCTGTAGTCTGAGGATCAGCTGTAATTCTGGAGGGTATCCAGGCTCCACCTGGAGGTTGGCATCCACTTCCTAGTCTGACATTAATTACTACACTACACTGGCTCTATATTTCATGGGTTATGCCTTGGTATCTCATCCACTTTTTATCTTTAATTAGGCAGAAAAGCTCATTTTAGACAGCAGCTCTGTTTTATTATCCATTTTATTGCTGGCTTAGCCAACATTCAAGCAGTTAAGTAACTGGCCCGTATAATGTCATACAATAATGGTAGCTGTGGGTTATAGTGATTTTATATTTGTCTTAATTGTTAATAAATGCCTCTATTGTCTCTATCTGGGGAAATATATATTGTGTTTGTGTCTCTCTCCAATTGTTATAATGGCTATTAATGCTTACTTTAGGTTACACATTTTAGTCAAAAGACTGTGGAAGCATTCTATATGTACATAATAGGTTAACCAGGAAATGGCATCCAATACACTGATTTTGACCTTTGGGGCTAATCTTAATCCCACTTTATTCTTTTTAGTTTAATTTACTGTTCAGTCTTCTCCTCAAAAGCCAATTTAGGGCATCACTTGAACTAACAGATACTATTTACACTGAAATTACTCTCCCTGTTGACATTATTATAACTGTTAGCGGCATGAAAGAAGGTGATCTGAAGTCAATGGAAAACACTCCAGTAAAACAGAAACCACACACTCTGAAATGGTTTGTGGATCACAGTTTAAGAGCTGCGACAATAAAGGTAAGTGAAAATGCTATGACTTAAATCAATGTAGTACCATTGTAGTTCATGAAACCAGATTGTCTGAACTCCATTAAATCTTTCTTAACTTGCTTGTGGATTAGTTTGGCAGCCAAAGGGGGCCTCCAAAGAGCTCCTGCTGCACTAGCATTTCAACCAGTGGAAGCTAATAAGCGTCCCATTCCCATCTGGCACCCTGATGCTCTGTGATGGATTGATGTTCGCTCTGTGGGTTCTTCCTTCAGAGCATATTCTCCTCACAAACCTTTCTCTGTCACCTCCCTTTGTGGCCTGCAGCCAGGTATTTTGACTGGGAGGAAAAACTACGACAGTGTACCATAATGTCAGAAGGTTGTCTTAATGGGTGAATAGTATAGTGTTATCACTTTTGTATACGCTCGTGCTCAGTAGCTATTCTTTAGTTTATGAGAGATTGTCATTAGGATTTTTGCTAATAATAATAACACACTGCCAATCAATGCTCCCTCTAAGCTGTGGAGTCTTGTGAGCAAAAATTCTACTTTGTGAGCTACTGGCATTAAAGCTGCGAGCGAGCAATTTGGCCACTGCATAAATTAGTTTGCTCTGGAGCAAAGACCAAAATGTGTGAGCCAGAGGCTAAAAAATGGTGAGCTAGCTCATACTAACTCAGCTTAGAGGGAACACTGCTGCCAATGTGCATAGCACTTCAATGTACAAAAAGACATGTCTATGTCCCAAGGGATTGACAATGTAAAATTCAACTCAGGGAAGGGAGGTGAACCTAGAAGAACCATTGGTCCATCTAGCCCAGCATCCTGTTTTCCCACAGTGGAAATACCTGGAGACTTTGGGGGTGGACCTTGAGAAGGGTGGGGTTTGGGAAGGGGAGGGACTTCAATGAGGTATAATGCGAGAGATCACAATTTCCAAAGTGGCCATTTTCTCCAGCTGAACTTATCTCTGTTGCCTGGAGATCAGTTGTAATCCCAGGAGATCTCCAGCCACCACCTGGAGACTGGCAACCCTAACATGCTCCAGAAGGCCCACAGCTGGGTTACGCTTCTGCCATTCCACAAACCATTCAAAACAGAATTGTTCAGAGCTTCCGGTTTGGCTTCCGCGAAATAGTCTATAGTTCATGGTATGTATTATCTTTTTAACATACATATTCTCTTGCTCTTACTACATTGTTTTCTACTTTTGTAATTCGGTGTTAAAGGAATAAGGCTGTAGTATAACTGTAGTATAACACAGGACTGTTTTCTACTTTTGTAATTCCATTGTTTGATATATATTGTATGTATTATCTGCTACATTTTTGCACTGTTTCTAATTTGTATCCTAGTCCTAATTGTTTATAGCTGCCTCGAGCTATAATCTGCCATGAGTGACTGTGAGAAAGTAAATCTTGAAAACAGAGCCTGCCACTCTTGCTGTCCTCCCCATCCCAGCAACTGGTATTCAGAGGTTCAATGTAGCCTCTATGTGTTTATTTATTGTCTTTTTAATGGTCATTTAAACTAGTAGCTATCATCACAACATGATGGTGGTATAGTTGACCTCAGGGCAGATAACCCATGTTGAAATGGCCGCTGTCCAAAATCTCCATTCCAACCTTCCTCAAAGAAGGATGAGGCAGCAAGGGTGAAAAATTAGGGTGAGGTAGCAGTGCGGAAGTGTCCTTAGACTGGTGTAATCAAATAACAAACTTTAGCTTGTCTGGGCCTCACTGATTCCTGAGGCACTAGATGGAAACAGCAACAACTAGTGCCTGAAAACAATGTATATTCGACAACATAATGTGTATTTTGCTGGATCACAGTGCTGAAAAACTGCTGCAAAGTGGCTGATATGAAGCATCCTACCGTAAAGAGGGAGGAAGGCTGAATATTCTTCCACTGTTACAGGGTGTCCAGCCTGGGTATGGCC